AATCTGTGATCACATTGATTTCCCATAGAAAATTAATCTCTTGAGTGAAAACATGAAAGTCCATTTATCTTGGAAACTATAAGAGATAGAGCCAAAACAGCGAAAATCTGTGATCACTTTGTTTCCCATAGAAAACCGATTTTTTGAATGAAAATATAAAAGTCCATCTATCTTGGAAACTATAGGAGATAGAGCCAACGTAGCACAGTGGTATAGGGAAAAGAAAAGAGGGAAATAATTCGGTAACTTCTAAACGGTTAATCCGATTTTGATGAAATTTGGTATGCACGAAGAGGAGGTGTTGTCGAGTTTAGGTTTTGAATTTGGACCTTTTAGGCCAACCAGGGGCCCGGCGGGGGTCCTCAAATTAGGACACCTCGGCTATGTTAAATTTTTAAAACGATCCTATTTCTTCATTTGAGTTCCGATTTAAAAAAAATTTCGTATGTAGAATCTCCTAATCGAGCACTATAAAAAATGTAGCAGTAGATTATCTCTTATAGTTTAGGAGATATTCGCATTTGGAAATTAAAATTTTAAAATTTTTACCGTCCTTACTTTAGTTTTTTGAGAATAGTGGGTCCAAATATTCCCGATTTTCGCCATTTTCATGACTGAGTCCAAAGTTATAGGCATTTTAATTTAAAAAATTAAAAAAAGCCGATTTTTTGTCATTTTTTTGGGAAAAAAAGTATATTTTTCTTTTTAAGTTATCTAAAAAGTTTCTAAGAAGATGTATATAGAATTTATACTTTTTGGAAAGCTGACTTTACATAAAATACGATAAATGAAACAACACCTAAAAATTTTTGATACCGAGGGGAGCATTCCATCCAAAAAAACCCTATTTTTTATGGAAAATTCAATTTTGAGCAAAAATTCTCAAATCGCATAGTCGATATCAAATTATAGTGACCTGTTTTATATGACCCAATATGTTCTTAATCATTTTGTAACGGGTTTCGATAACCCCGTTCCTGGTATGGATATAATAGGCAAAAAAACAAAAAATCCCATTTTTGGGATTTTTTAAAACTTTTTTGGGAATTCCGGGATTTCTAATAAGAAAATTCGAAATTTTTATTTAATTTTGGATTTTGAGTAAAAAAATCTACCTAACTGTAAAATTTCATCAAAAAATATTCATAAATCAAATTTTTATTGCAATTTGAAAAATTTGTATCTTCGCAAAAACTGAATAAAAAACATTTTTTAATTTTTTTCAAAAAAAGTATTCCGCGAATTTTTTAATTTTCAAAAATTATATACATAAAAATAGACAAAATTACCTTTCCATTGATATATAACATGCCTACCTAATGTTTTTTAAGTGACAAATTAATTAGGGAAAACTCAACTTCTTTTAGAAAATTTATGTAGCACTATTATTTTCATCCATAAGGTTAACTCTTAAATTTGTTACATATATGGATGAAAATAATAGTGCTAGGTAAACACTGTAAACAACATTTTTTATAGTGCTCGATGAGGAGATTCTATATACGAAATTTTTAAATCGGAACTCAAATGAAGAAATAGGATCGTTTTAAAAATTTAACATAGCCGAGGTGTCCTAATTTGAGGACCCCCGCCGGGCCCCTGGTTGGCCTATAAGGTCCAAATTCAAAACCTAAACTCGACAACACCTCCTCTTCGTGCATACCAAATTTCATCAAAATCGGATTAACCGTTTAGAAGTTACCGAATTATTTCCCTCTTTTTTTTCCTATACCACTGTGCGCAGTTAAAATCTGTGATCACTATGATTTCCCATAGAAACCCGATTTTTTGAGTGAAAACATAAAAGTCCATTTATCTTGGAAACTATAAGAGATATAGCCAAAACAGCTAAAATCTGTGATCACTTTGATTTCCCATAGAAAATCAATCTCTTGAGTAAAAACATACAGGTCCATTTATCTTGGAAACTATAAGAGATAGAGCCAAAACAGTTAAAATCTGTGATCACTTTGATTTCCCACAGAAAACCTATTTTTCAAGTGAAAACATAAAAGTACATTTATATTCGAAACTATAAGAGATAGAGCCAAAACAGAGAAAATCTGTGATCACTTTGATTTCCCATAGAAAACCGACTTTTTGAGTGAAAACATAAAAGTCTATTTATCTTGGAAACTATAAGAGATAGAGCCAAAACAGTTCAAATCTGTGATCACTATGATTTCCCATAGAAAACCGATTTTTTTAGTGACACCATAAAAGTCCATTTATCTTCGAAACTATAAGAGATATGCCAAAACAGTTAAAATCTGTGATCACTTTGATTTCCCATAGAAAATCGGTTTTTTGAGTGAAAACATAAAAGTCCATTTATCTTGGAAACTATAAGAGATAGAGCCAAAACAGTTAAAATCTGTGATCACTTTGATTTCCCATAGAAAATCAATCTCTTGAATGAAAACATAAAAGTCTATTTATCTTGGAAGCTATAAGAGATATAGCCAAAACAGCGAAAATCTTTGATCACTTTGATTTCCCATAGAAAACCGATTTTTTTAGTGAAAACATAAAAGTCCATTTATCTTGAAAACTAAAAGAGATAGAGCCAAAACAGTTAAAATCTGTGATCACTTTGAGTGAAAACATAAAAGTCCATCTATCATGCAAAATATAAGAGCTATCTCCACACGTTAAAATCTGTGATCATTTTATTTCCCACTATAAGAGATATCGAACTATTGAGTGAAAACATAAAAGTCCATTTATATTGGAAACTATAAGAGATAGAACCAAAACAGTTAAAATCTATTATGACTTTTATTACCCATAGAAAATCCCATTTTTGAGTGAAAACATAGAAGTTCATTTATCTTGGAAACTATAAGGAATAGAGCCAAAACAGTTAAAATCTGTGATTACTTTGATTTCCCATAGAAAATCAATCTTTTGAGTGAAGACATAAAGGTCCATTTATCTTGGAAACTATAAGAGATAGAGCCAAAACGGTAAAAATCTGTGATCACTTTGATTTCCCATAGAAAACCGAGTTTTTTAGTGAAAACATAAAAGTCCATTTATCTTGGAAACTATAAGAGTTAGGGCTATAGAAAATCGAACTATTGAGTGAAAACATAAAAGTCCATTTTGAAAACTATAAGAGATATCGAGCTATTGAATGAAAACATAAAAGTCCATTTATATTGGAAACTATAAGAGACAGAACCAAAACAGTTAAAATTTATTATCGCTTTTATTTCCCAAAGAAAGTCTAATTTTTAAGTGAGAACATAGAAGTCCATTTATGTTGAAAGCTATAAGCGAAATCTATAAGAGATAGGGCCAAAAGAGCGAAAATCTGTGATCAATTTGAATTGCCCTGGAAAATCAACCTTTTGATAGAAAACAGAAAAGTCCATTTATCTTGGTAACTATAAGAGTAAAAATGTGTGATCACTTTGGTTTCCCATAGAAAACCGATTTTTTGAGTGAAAAAGCAAAAGTCCATTTATTTTGGAAACTATAAGATATAGAGGCAAAACCGCGAAAATCTGTGATCACTTTGATTTCCCATACAAAATCAATCTTTTGAGTTAAAACAAAGTCCATTTATCTTGGAAACTATAAGAGCGGGTTTTTGAGATGGTAATCAAATGCCAATTAATAATCAGATTAGTTAATCTAAAAATAAAAATATTAAACTTCGCAGTGTTGCCATACAAAACAACAGAAAACTTCACTGTTTGTTATCAAAACAATGCATATTTTATAAAAAGAAGAAGACAATTGTAAATTTAATATGAAAATGAATGAAAACTTAAATTAAAAACAAAAAAATGTATTTTGAAGTGTCCATAATTTATACTAATCAATAAATAGAACATTTTAATGTTTATATTTATAAAAATTTTATTAATTTTTTTGCATCAGCTGTTTACACTTTTGTGTTTCGTGCTTAAGATTAAACCACCTCCATTGGGCGCTTAAACTTGCAAACAAAATTAACTAATTGAGTACCCAAAAACATCTTTCGAGGATTAATTTTAATTTAATCGCTAATCCTTCACCTAAAGATTGGCCCTAAGAGAAGCGCAAAAAAAATTCTAGAGTGAAATCATAAAAACTCATTTATTTTGGAAACTATAAGAGGTTGAACTGAAATAGCAAAAATCTTTTACCGCATTGATATTCGAATTTAAATTTTTAATTTAAAAATTTTATTTTTTTTAAAGTAAATGTGTTAATTTTATATGATTTTTTTCATAAAATAATATTGAAATAAATTATAAAGATGTTCTAAAGTAATAACTTCAATGTGTAGTTTCCAGATAACTTGTGATTACTTTGAGTAAAAATTTTAAATGTATTTTATTGTTGTTACAATAACAAAATACAAATACATTAAATTTTACCTCAAAGTGCTCGCGTGCTATCTAGAAACAGCACTTAAATATGTATGTATGTTAATCACACTTACCTTGTTTATGAAATGTTTAGTATTAATTGTGATTATCCAAGCTAAAAGTCAAACCGGAAAACATTACACTTATTTCAAATTACTTCCGTCAACCGTTAGTTTAAATTTTCAAATTATTTCAACTAGTGTCTCGACTATTCTCAGCACCCTGTTACAACTGTCAACAATTCCTGTTTCCTTCATTAACACCTTTATCATCTGCCTTCTACTTCGTCCTTCATTCGCAACGACCCACAATAAAAGGATTTCTTTACACGCATATTTTTCGCTTTTACACAACATTTCTCAGATAGATTTCATATTATTTTCATGCACAACACTTTATTTAATATTTTCAACCACTTTTTGTTAAATACATTTCATTATTTACCCGATTTTTTGTAAAATTAAAAATAACCAATTGGAACTCTTAACACAATGCTGAAAAAACCGCTAAAACTGAATTTTATACACAGGGTGCCACGAATATATGTTGACATTTCATATTATTTGACACATAACAGAGTTGTCTTCGAAACAATGGAAAATGTCATGTGCAAAGAAAACAACAAACAACACAGAGTGTGTGTGTAAATGTTGTTGGTGTACTAGTATTTAATGTTGCTGCGGGAGGAAGAGCAAATGAAAAAGAGACAAAAAAACACATAATTTCGTACAAATAATTACAAAGCAATCGCAAGTGACGCCATTTTTTACATAAATCATATAATTTTATTCAGTTTTTACAAAGAACAATAGACTCGGAAAGAAAAATCCATATTCTGGCAGCCCATAAAAAGTGTGTGTATGCTAAATAGTGTGTTGGATTCTTTTATTTTTAAATTGTCGACGCATTTACGAACTTTGAATTCCTTCGTTTTTTAATGAGTTTAATCAATTTCCTCAATCCCAAATTAAAACCCACGGTTGAGTGTGATGCCGTCTGTGAAGATGGCTATGGGGTCTCCAACCTAATAGCCGACGATGCTGAACAGCTACAGCGTGGCTTTATGGCCTTCTCTGTGAGCAAGCCACCGATTGAGATTGTCTTTGAATTCCCCAAGGCCATCGACTTGAAGGTGATTAAACTCTGGAACAGTCATGGTGCTTTAAGGTCAACAGCATTCGAGCTGCACGGCAAATACGAGGGCATTTGGGAGCGTGTAGCGTATGTGCGTGACTTGGCCAAAGATGTTGATTCGCTGACATTTTGCTATCAAAGTGATTACAGTTCAAAGAGTTCTGAACAGCAATCGAGTGAAAAAGTGTTTTTCTTTAAGACAGCCCATAAAATGCTCTCCAATACCAACAGTATTAAATTGATTATACGTGCCACACAAAAATGTCCCCCGGTCTTGCGTAAGGTGCAGGTTTGGGGCCTGCCAGCACGTTCACTAGACAAAGCCGACCGGGAGTTGGTCAAAAGTATATGGAATGAAATAACTAATCCCTATGATTATGGTGGCATGCGTCAGCGTGATGATGATGCCGGGCAAAGATCACCTTCAAGGTCAATACCAGAATTGAATAAATATTCAACACTTAAAATACCGGAAGAGTTCCTAGATGCTATAACATGGGAACTGATGGTGAGTTAAGAAAATGTTTGTTGAAAATTATTTTTTTTTTTTTTTTTATATATTTGCCTGGGATTTTATGCTGGGATGAAAATTCCAGGAAATTCTTGTTGCATTCCAAATCTTATTAATAAATATTGCTTCGATTAAAATAGTTTTAATTGTTTGCAAGGAGACGGGCTTATTCCAATAATATACAATTTGGTTTAGGATAAGAAAATTATATATAAATTTGTCATTCCGTTTGTAATTCCGAGTCCTGATAGATAGAGGAGTCGATATAGACGTGCTTCTTATGAAGAGCTCAGATATCTGCAAGATCCAAATCGTTAATAATTCTATCAGACATACTTTCGTATAGATTCCTGTTTAAATTCAGTAAAATCGGTGCACAACTAAAGGAGATATGAGCAAAATTCCTAACAACCCATGGAAATATTAATTTTTTTTCTCAACATTTCAACAAATTTTGTCTAATAATTATATCCGGATAAAATTCGAATCAATTTTATTTATATACAAACCATTCTGTGAAATTTTTTTTCCGACAGCACATATCATATCAAACCCTGCCAAATTTGTGACTACTAAAGAGTACTCTTCGATGGACTAAAACTATTCCACATATAGGTATTGAAAATTGAAATATGTTGCAAACAAACTTCATTAAATATACTCCATAGAACATCCTATGTGAGGGCCATGTTATCCGCAAATGCATTACATCGGACTAATCCCAAAACTACTCTCTTGCTAAATAATGTTTACAGGGGAGTAGTTTTGGGATTGCCCAAATGGATCAAGTACTCCAATAACTTTTGAAGGGAATATATTCTTTCATAAAAAGCCCATTAAAAAAATGCGAATGTTTTATATGTAATTTATTTTAAGAGGCATAATATTTACAAAGGTACTTATTCAAACATTACCCTTTTCATGTACCAAAATTCTCTTTTTCAAATCACCACCCCAACGATATTTGAGCTTATCACCATTTTTAGCCTTAACACGATGACATGGTATAAAAATGGCAATATTATTACTACCAACAGCATTTGCCACAGCTCTAACAGCTTTAGGGTTTCCAATAGCTACTGCTAAATCACTATAGGTACATTCCTCGCCAAATGGTATTTCCAATAAGGCTGACCACACTTTTCTCTGAAACTCAGTGCCTTTTAAAAGCACATAAATTTCTTCAGCACCGTTTGGTTCTGTCATATACTTGTCCCATATTTCTTTCGTTGTTTTGTCATCATTTACAATTTCCGTTTTTGGCCAAAGTATTTGTAAATCATTTTTAAACTTTTCCATAGTTGTTTCATTAGCAGCAAAGTGGGCATAACAAAGATATAGATTTTTCTCTAGATAAAAAGCCAGAAATAAACGACCATATTTGGGAGTTTCAACAAATCCATAGTATATTTTACTAGGGGAATTTATTGATATAAATGGTTTTACAATAGTATTTTTGTACATTTCTCTGAATTTTTTACGCGCTTTTAGGAATATTTTGTTATGATTACTATTGTGAAATAATGTTTGTTTTTGTGTAGGGATGACAATAAGTTTTTCGATAATTAGGGGTGAGAATTATTAATATTAGGACTGTGTAAAACTTTATAAATCTTTCAAATGTCTCATACTGGAATCCTGTAACTAATTGTCCAGAAAAAGACCAAATTTCATTGCAATCAATTTTTATAATGTTATTTTTGAACTATTTATTATTTTATTAAAAAATCATTTTCTTTTTTGTTCATTTAACAATATTTTCTTTTTCAAATCACTGCCCGAACCATATTTATACATATCATTAACTCTAGCTTTAACACGGTGACATGGTATAAATATAGCAATATCGTTACTGCCAACTGCATTACCCACAGCTCTAGCAGCGTTTGGTTTACCAATCATTGCTGCCACCTCTCCATAAGTACGTTCCTCTCCGAAAGGTATACTCAGCAAAGCTGTCCAAACTTTCTTCTGAAACTCGCTGCCATTTAGAACAACATAAACTTTACGAGTTTCTCTTCTTTCCTGAACGTAATTGCCAAATACTTTTTTTGTCAAGTTATTGTCCTGAACGCACTGCGTGTGCGGCCAACTTTTTTGTAAATCATTTGCAAACTCTTCGATTGTATGTTTTAAAGCAAATTTAAAACGGCGAATGTGTAGTTTTTCTTCTAAATAATATGCCGTCAATATTTTACCATAATCAGGTGTTTCAATTAGGCCATAATTAATTGTATTAGGTACATTTTTAGGGATTATAGGTTTGACTATAATATTTTTGTACATATTGTTGAACGGAGTTTTTACTACGCGGTTAAATAAAGAAATGTTTGTTTATCGTAGCACGCAAATTCTTTCTTATTATTGGGATGGAATTTTGTCGATAATAAACTGTACTGTATAAACTTAATAATACAGTTTTTAAACGTTTTTGCATAGTCAAACATACGACTTTTTTATTTGTCAAGCCTTAATTAATATTTTCGATAATTTGCCGATTTTTATTAAAATATTTATGCATAAATGTCCAATGTTTTTAATTTTTAAAGAAAAAATAACTAATTTTTGATAATTTTCCCAACATTATATAAAATATGCGAAAATTTATCCATTTATTAAAATTAAGTTTTGATTAAAAGATTAAAAAAATGTAAAAAAATTATCGATTTTGTTTAGAAAAGACTCTAATTTTTGAAAAATATGTACATATGTTAATTCTTAAACTTTCGCTTTTGAGGGTTTAATTGTGATGGAATTCGACCGATTTGAAGAGGTGTGATGAATTTTGATCGAGGAATGATTTATTATTTTCTTGCAAAATACCAAACAGACAACAAAACACTTTCCATTTAAGAGAATCAATAAATAAATATGATAAATTGTATGAAAAAAGCACAGATATTTAATGTTAAATAATACAAAAAAATCTTAAATATGTAACTACTGAACACCCATGTAACCTTAAAATTCCATTTCCCTTTACTTACAGATCTTTCCAACCGTTTTACCATCCGGTAAAGTCGTCGATCAATCCACAATCGATAAACACTCCGAGGAAGAAGCCAAATGGGGGCGTTTACCTTCGGATCCCTTTACTGGACTTGAATTCACGCCACACCGCAAGGCTATTTTGAATTTAGCCCTTAAAGCACGTATTGAAAAGTTCCTAATGGAGAATTCTGAACATTTTAAAACTGTACCACGTTCCTTGGGCAGTTCTCGAGTACGTCGCAGCAAAAATAGACATGCCTCGCAATTTGCTAGTCTCTGTCATCAGCATACACCCGGTGTTTATTCATCCCTATCGAAATCTTATAAAACTACAGCCACAGCAACCCTGTCATCCACAGATGGTAATAATACTGATCTTATTGGAACTGTAGGTTCAGCTTCCTCATCGTTTGATCTACCAGCTAAAAGGGCTAGATTAATGGATTCAACTGCACTAGCATCCTACACCACAACAACAGCCAGTAAATCACGTTTAAATAAGAAATACACTACCTCGGTCACATCCTCCACAACCCTAACTTCCTGCTCTACTCCCCTGCTGTTGGCCTCAACAGCTACCCAGACATCTGCCACAGCTACTGCATCATTCTCCAAATGTTCCACTTTAACTAGAGAAGCCAATGCTGCCAAAACCACAACCACCAGCACTTCTGCCACAGCAACTTCCACCTCCTCTGGCATAGATCAGGCCATACAACAAGCTTTACAGAAAATTACACGATTTTCACAATTACCCCTAAAGCCTACACCACAGCCCGTGTCTTGTATTAAATGTCAGACCACAGAATTTTCTTACGAAATACAAACTTGTGGTCATTTGGTGTGTCGCGAATGTTTGGTCACGCTTACACGTGATGAGCAATGCATTTGTAGTGTAACATTTCGTTCTGCGGATGTGGAACGTTATCATAGATTGTAAATTAATAACAAGATGGAAGAGAATTCAATTTTTAATATTTTGTTAAAGGGTTCAAATAGCCAGCACTACACGAGGGAGAGAAGGCGGTAATCTTGGAAAGTCTTTTAAGCAATAAAACAATATACATATTGATTTGTTTGTTTTTGTATTAACTGCAATCCTAAACGTAAAATCCATATATCTGCCAAAGTAGTGCCGTGTTTTTTTGAACCCAGACAAACATTTTATTAAATTTATTTGCTTTTATTATTAGTCGTCAATTTGTTTAATCTAGTTTATTTACAAAAGCAGGTTACTTTTTTTTTCAAATAATTTGTTTTAAGTTTTAGTAATTAGATTTTTATTAAGATTGGGATACATGATTCATGGTCACATTAAACTAAATTTGAAAGCTTAAAAGTTTTAATACTCATTTTGTTTGTCCAAAACAATGTTACAGTTTAAAATTTAACGATTGACCAAGATGGAATATTGAATTATAGTTGAGTTTCTTTTTTTTTTTAGTAAAATATGCTGTTACTGAGTTTTTAGTTGGTTTATTAAGTTTAAATTGTTTTTCAAATAAAGTTAATATTAATAGTTTATTATTTTAGAAAAATAATAAAAAAATATTAAAAAATCAAAATAAATTAAAGTTGCAAAATTGTTCTTATTTATTTGGCATTATCTCCAAAAAATTTTGTTGGTAAATACTCAGTTTAACAGTGTATTTTGTATACGTTTTTAATTTTATTTTTAAACAATTTATCTCATATTCTACCACCGTGCATTAAAGCATAAATATTAAATATTAATTTTTTAAAATAAATTTCATTTATAGCTTTATTAAATTATTTTTTAAATAACTATTTGTTTTTTTTTTTTTTACACAATACACTACAATCAAGAGTGCAAATTATCAATATACAAAATATAATTTTATTGCTAATTTTATTATGTATTTCATTTCAAACTTTTTATTAATAAGCCGAAGAGTAAATAAACCAACAAGAAAACCCTCAAATAAATGAAACGTATGTTTCCTTAAATCAACCACAATTTAATTAATAAGTCAACAAAAATAATTTAATAAATTGCTTAAAAAATAACATTTAAACAAAGCAATTTATAAAATATATCATATATATTTTTTCATAAACATATTTTAGATATACAAATAAATAATGAAAGAAAAAAATCATTAGCTGTTTAGAAATTTAACATACTTAACAGATAATTCATCCATATTTAAAATACGCAACATATATAGATATACTTATGTGTAATCTTATATATAAAAAATCCAATATATTTAGATTTATCATTATCATCCATACCAACATAAATATTTGAAAAGTAAATAAATTATCTATGAGTAATATCATATAGAAAACTTTAAAATATTCGCATTTTTAATTTAAAATTTTTCAATACAAGAACGATAATAACAAACAGCTTCTTTTGACTGCGATATCTGGGACCTCGATTTCTGGAGGACATCTCAGAGCTATCTGGAATTAAACTAGATAATCTAAACACCTTTATTAGGCATTGTGGTTGGTTGAACCAAACTCTAATGGCACTGAACAGTAGCTCTTCGAGTCTAAGACGTTTTCGCTCTAAATTAAATCACTCTCTATCTCAATCTCCATCCACATATTTTTACTCTTAATCTCTTGAATTTTTACTACTGTATCTTACCACAACTTCATCTTTCCTATTTTTCTCTCTTAATCTACTTACAGGTATCACAAAGGGACCAAAACGGCTTTCGCAGCCTGCAAAACTAACCAACCAGCAGCTCTTGTCCTATTCTAATCTTGCATTGCTCTCGCCAATATGTCAGCAATGTTATTACAGTTTATATCTCCCTATCCATTGACCCACATTAGGGTTATAACTTTTATACAATTTTTGAAATTTCAAATCGTTGAAAAAGTATATTACTTTTTCCCGAGCGTTAAAAAAGTTTCCGCGGCAAATGCGTTAATGTTTTCGATATTTGCTCTAAACTAAATTTTAAATTTTGTAATACAAATCTGGAAATTTTCGGTACAAACTAGTGTCATTGTTGGACCAAGACATTTATACGGAGAAAAGTCAAGGATAGGGGCGGCAGTTTACCCCCTTTTCAAATTTTGCTCCCAAACATGTATATTATTAAAAATTCATGTAAATTTGCTTGTGAATGGTTTTAGGAAATCAATTTTCCGCGAAAGGTTTTTACACCAAAACGACCCGAGAAAAATATTTTTGTTACTACTGGGAACCACGTAGTGATTGGGCCTAATTTTGGTTAAAACCCTAATGTACATATCGTCACCTGAAACGCAAACGACCTGATAGGTTTCACTATTGTTTATATTTTACAAATAAATCGCGTTGATAGAAACAAACATTTCAATTTAAATAGTTTTTTGCTTCTCCTGCAAAATTTTAAAAAAGTTAGATAGGGCCGTTGCGTTTTAGGTGATGATATACATATAGTATAAGGGCTTTAATATGGAATATACACCGATCGACGATTTTAAGCAGCTTGAATATCAGTTTAGATCCTGATATCACTAAGCCAATTCGCTCCAAAGCATTTTCATTCAGAATATTAAATCTTCATAAATAGTATGATATTGTACGTGACTGGAACGTTTTTGTTGAATTTTCCATAATTCGTAATTTTTTAGATAATACATTTTCATATACTAACGATTTTTAAAGATAAACTACATAAATATCGTGTGCACTAAGCAAGATATTGGTGGTCAAAGCTCACAAAAATCTCTTAGTTAAATATACGTAATTAATTTCTATTATATCCTTTATGATAGCGCCACCCTCAGGACAGCGCAATTTCCGTCTATCCAATTAAAAAAAATAATAATAATAATAATGAACATATTTTACAAAGTCAGGGGACTATTTCCACAAAATTTCATTGAAATCGACTACTGCTTCAACCAGTACCTCGTTTCTGTAATTTTCTCGAATCGAGAAAAAACTTAACAGTTTTTAACAGTGTGACTCTGATTATTTTTGAACTGTACTCATTAAAATTTAATAAGAAATTTTTAAATTTCTTGTATTCACCCTGTTTTACACAAGATGATCATGAATTTTTCTACAGATTTTCTCGATGCGAGAATTACAGAAACGGGGCACAGATCTAATATAGACAACCGTGTTTAACTCTAGATTGTGGAGTCTAGATTCTAGACCGTAGTGTCACAAAGTATACATTGTGGTAGTGTTTTTAAAAATTTGCCAAAAACTGATTTTTGTAACATTTGACCCCCAAATAGCGCACATGAGATTAATGGAGACTTTTAGCCCCTTTATTAAGACGAAGTCCTGTGTCAACTATCAATACTCCAGTATTCTCATTTTTACGACTAATTTTCTTGGGCTAATATGTATGTATTTTTAATACAAACATTGAAAAATAAGTCAAAAATTAAATAAAGTCAAAAAAATTTAGTATAACTCAAGATTCATGAGCCAATTTATACGTTGCTGTAATGTTTGTTCTTACATTTAGATTTTCTTTGCAAAAACTATAAACTCAAAACAATTATTTACTAACATTATTCTTTGAGTGCTTTTAGAGATGACAACATAAAAATCTTTATTTATACAGTACTTTTAATGTTAATCAGAATTTCTTTACAGAAAATCATTCAAAAGCATCAGAGACTTGCGCAGATTCGGCTTAAGCCGACTAAGCCAAGCCGCTGAACAAAATGTCAAAGCCGCCGAAAATTTTTCAGCTTAATACGGTTTAAAAATTTCGCCATATTTTGTACAATTTACAGAACACTTTCGCTAAATTTAAGGAATTTTACAATATAAAATTAATTTGTTTTCATTTAAGCAAGTTTTCTTTTATCTAATAATAAGCCGCTCATTGAAATTTGGCCGGTGTAGAACTTTGCTCAACGTTCGATGTATATGCTTCGCCTCAGATATTTTCGTAACGCGCCAAATTCGAGTCGCTGCTTTTACTTCAAACCAGCTTCGTTGATGTCAACGGAGCTACACCTTTTTACATTGCTGGTATGTCATACCGTAAAGGGCTAGGGTAACAAACATGTGTATTTTAAATGGGAAGTGCAGTTGATGTCAATTCTGCCGACTGCGAAAAGAAATTCTGCTAGAATTTTTCGCGCCAAACTGTTTTCTGCATTTTTTATTTGCAAAAAAAAACTGTTGTTGTGTGTGTGCAAAAATCTAAAATGACAGTAATGATATTCTTTAAATAAAAAAATTATTTTTACTAACAATTGAAATTAATAAGATTGTATGCTATACTACTATACCGAGGGTCATTGTGCAAAGAAACAGCAAGTGTTGGGTTTAATTTGTTAATAACTATGATGAAAATGTTTTTCCAGGCGAGGTTTGTTTTCGTTTAATACCCAAAAGTGTTTATTGAAATCTACATTTGGTATATTTGTGAGATCTAGAAGATTAAAAAATGTAAGTAATTGTGTTAATTAATTATTTATTTGTCTATAAAGAACGTCTTTCTTTTCAAGAAAGAGGAGGCATCATGGTGGTCTCCTGGAAGAATGCCCACAAGAGGGTGACAATTGTATACCTCCCTAGTCACCTACACTGAAAAAAATCCATGCCTAATATAGGTATACGAAATTTAAAAAAAAAATTAAGATAAAAAATATTACGAAAGGTTTTCGTACTTTCGTAAAAAAGTAAATATTACGAAAATATAAGTTACGAAAGTTGAGCATGGATTATTTTCAGTGTAGGCGGGTGGTGGTCGGTCGGCTAGTGGTGACATGGTAATATTATCACCTAGAGGCAATGGACGGAAGCTGATTGCCGTATTCAGGGGGTATCCTTGGGATATGTACTTATTATTATACCATTGTTCTCAGCAGAATCACTACCATACACCCATAATAGAGCTCGATGTCAGTCTGGTGTGCCTTTCCATATAAAGTGAAGCTCTTGTTGTCTCCAAACACTATGGTGGCCGAATATTTACAAGAAACAATTGTTAAGCCGCCTTTTATACAAATTTATAGCTTTGTAGAGAATGTTTTCACGGACCTAGAGGATATAACCTGGCTGATGATGTTTGGGCAAACTATTGGTACAAACCATTGTGGGCTTTACGTCGACTTTAGATCCCTTATAGTTGTCACACTATACCAAATAAGCATTCTTGCTGGAATTAAAGTTTAAAACAAGTTTAATTTCACTTAAACATTCAAATTTCAAGTGTTGAAATACACTTTCATTACACTTTAATTCAATAGCACTCTCCAGTGAAAACGAAACTTGAATTCAAGTCGAACATTTAGTACTTTTTGGATATTCGGCCGTTTAAGGGATGAAAATTGTACCTATTTTTGGTACTTTTTTATCAAACATTGTTTTTGGTTTATTAACTTATATATATGAATACATAATAACTGGCTCCCAATACGATGTTGCAACTTTTTGGAACAGAATTTTTATTTCGTTAATGGGGAGAAAAAAAGTACCGAAAGGGGTAAAAACGGGAAATTTGATTTTATTCAAGAAACACTAAATATGCTAATGGGGTGTTATTTGGAACACCGGTACCAAGTGATATTTTTTGGTACTTTTTCATTCTCCAACTGGTACTTTTTGAGTTTTCTATGATATCGAAATCGAAACATGAAATTAATAATTAAGGGACTTTTCGGAACTTTTTCGTTCTACAAATGTACTTTTTGAGTTTTCTATAAAATTTAACCTAGAAACATGAAATTAAACAAGTAGAGTCCGGAGTAAATGAGAATCTCTAAAATAGGACTTATTGGTACTTTATCGTACTTCGACAGGTACTTTTTTGACTTAGAACTTAGAAACATGTAATTAAGCACTTGAGAATCTATAAAATTGGACTTTTTGGTACTTTTTCGTTCTTCAAAAGGAACTTTTTGAATTTTCTATAATATTAAACCTAGAAACATGAAAGCATGTAGAGTCCCGATTAAGTGAGAACCTGTAAAAGGGGACTTTTTGGTTCTTCAAAAGATACACTTTAAGTTTTTGTATAATATTGAACCTAGAAACATGAAATTAACCATGTAGAGCCCGGATTAAGTGATAACATATAAAAGGGGACTTTTTGGTACTTTTTCGTTCTTCAAAAGGTATTTTTTGAATTTTCTATAATATTGAACCTATAGATATGAAATTAAACCTGTAGGACATGGAGTAAGTGAGAACATATAAAACGGGACTTTTTGGAACCTTTTCGTCTTCAACTGGTACTATTTCAATTTTCTAAAATATTGAATATATAAACATAAAATTAAACATGCAGTATCCTAATTGAACGAAAATTTATCTCGCTTACGTCCATTTTGCAAAAAGGGCTCGATATCAATCGAAATCTCTATAGGCCATAATTGACCCTGCCCCCTTCAATAATTGATTTTAACGTTTTCTACGTACTTAATAATAATTGATTTTAACGTTTTCTACGTACTTAATAATACCATAATAAAAGAATTTTTGTTGGAACGAAAATATGTAATGTAAATATGTATATGAAATCTTCTTTAGAAAATGACTTAAACGCAAATACATAAATGGCTTTCAAATGTCGATGTCGACGAAAAAAACATTTTTAGGAACCGAAACCTACATTTATGAAAAATAAAATTATGAGGATCGGTCCGCCAATATAACCCTCTTACAGAAAATCAGTTTATAGCTAATACATCATCCCAAAAGTTATCATTATGATAGAATTATGGTAGAATTAAAAAAAATACTTTAAATTATAGAGAACTTTGTCCATAATTGACCCAATTCCCTAATCCGAAAATCACGGTGACGTTCTTATTAATCTAATGATCAAAGTCCATATATATATGTGTATGACCACTTCAGAAATTTGCTTTTTTACGACATATGGTTTGCCGAATATAACTCTTACTTCTTACTTATTTTAATCATAGGGAAATTACCGCTAAAATAGGAATAGTCTGCCTTTAGAGTTGCGAGTTTTCATACATTCTAATAATGTTTTCAAAGTGAAACTTTTGGAATATTTTTCATCTCTTTGTGATACCTTCAAAAGATGTTGTTCTGGAAGAACTTTAACATCCATGTAAACATTTTGGGTAATAAATTGGGGGACTACCAATGAGGGGAGCGGAACCTCCCATATGAATTAAATATAAAAATTCGTTTATCTGGGAAACTAATATCAAATTTTGCACGAAGAACTTTAATATTTATCTGAACATTTTGGAGAAAAAAGGGCGGACTTTCATCTGGGGGCTTGGAGCTCCCATATGAATTAAATAGAAAAATTCGTATATCTGAGAAACTATTAGAGCTAGAATCTTCAAATTTTACTGAAGAACATTTAGAGAACGGGCGGACTTTCAATGGGGGGCTTGGCACTTCCCATAGGAATTAAATACAAAATTTTGTATATCTGGGAAACTATTAGATTATTCCAATTTATCATAGATTAAATTAAAATCTTAATAAATGTTCGGAATAACTGCCGAAATTGCAATAATTTGCATGGAATCTTCCATATGTAACAAATTGTATATCTGGAAAACCATTGTAGTTAGAATCATCAATCATTTTTACGTTATTGATCATTTTCTTAATGCAAAATTTTTTACAAACTGATTTTCTGCAAGATGTTTTATATGGAGGATAGGGTTAAATATCGGCAGATCCTCGTAAAACTTGGAGAAAGGATTTGTTTTTAATTTTTAAGAATTTTTTATTCATCCCTGCATAATTTCTCACACAACTTTTGAGCTTGAGCTTTTGACCTTCTATAACTCACTAGGGAAAACTCAAATTCAAAAAATATTATTTTTCCCGGATTCATCATACTCAAATTATCTTAAATATAAGTTTTCAAGTTTTTTTCTAGACATAAATTATTTTTGACCCTGAAAGGGTTAAAAACTAAACGTAGTTGAAAACTTAGCCGGCCTACAGTCGATTTTAAGCCGCCGCCGACATATTTAGTGTCAGTCGCCGCAGCGCGTAATTTTAAACTTGCAAATATTTTTTAGTGTTTTTTTCTTATTAATTGTAGTGAATTATTAAATTTAATAAAAAATTGTGTGTAATTAAATGAATATGAGTGGAAATAACGATAGTTTTAGCACGCCCAAACAAACAAAAAGACTGGGTCTTAGACGCACTAGTAGCATATTAAGAGACAAAAAAGCAACGGGATCTATACCAAAACCAAAAATTTTAGAAGTAGCAACGCCAGTCTCCACATCTAGTCAGTCTACGCCAGTCTCCACATCTAGAAGGAGTAGATTGCCACAAAGTGATGTGAAAATAAACTATAAAAATTTAGAACATAAATGTAAAAGCAACAATACCCCCACGGCTGCTGTTAAAACACCAGGAACTCCTAAGAATACCAGCTCCAGCACTGTGGTGCAACGTTTGGCTGTAAGTACAAATTGTCGTCCCTATAGATTAGCATTGAGTAAAAAGGTCCGAGAAAAAATGACCAAAAAAAGATTAGAATTCTATTTGGCTAATGAAATGGATAAAAATGAGGCTACGGGAAATGAAAAGAAGGAGGAAGAACCAAATGTTGAACAAATGTCCAAAGAAGATTTATTGCAACAAATTGAAATAGCCCGCAAGGAGCTTAAAGCCCGCCAAGATCATAAAAAGAAAGTACAAGATCTCCAACAAGCCATTAATGTATGGAAAACGGGATTTTCCTCTGCTCTGCTAGATTTGCAGCATAAAATTGAACCCCGTTTAGAAACAGCAACCCTCTTAGAACGTTTGCATATACCACAAGAAATGCTTAAATATATTAATGATGAATAATACAAAACTCGCAGTATGTTTAATTGAATATTAAACAAACAGATACCATTTATTTAAATAAAAAAATTCAAATTAATATTTATGAGGCCTGATGGGCTTCTCGGGATCAAATAATTTGGGATCTTTCATAAAATCTAAATCCTTATGGTATGTAGGCATCATGGCGCAATTTTGTGCCCTTATTATGGCCTTCTCCACCTCTGTTTGCTTTTGTTTACATAATCCGGTAATGTGGCGACCATAAATGCGGCCGGTGTATGGAGATTGGAATTGTGACAAAAGTTTGACATTCTTGTAGTCGGGCGTTATGTCATGTTTACACAAAATGCACACCTTACGTTCCTTTTCGAAGGGATTCTTAATGTCAACAGGTTCATCGGGATTGCTAGATGTTGTGGCCCTCAAAGCTGAAACCGCCAGTCTCCGTGTTCCCGTTAAATTGCTGACACTCACTGCCAATAGAATAAATGTAAATAATTATTAAAAATGAAAAGAACTAAAGTTTATTTAATAATTTACCATTTCGTGCTATAAATTTGGTTAATTTTAACATTTTTCTGCCAAAAAACTTAAAACAAAAACTCAAATATGGGGCCAGAGAAAAACCTGCTGTAAAAATGTTTTTCTCAAACAGCTGTTTCAAAAAAACTACATATTGACAGTTAAGGAAGTGTTTGGAGTAAAATAATATTTAAAGACAAAGTAGCAACACTGTTAAAAGGGTTTTTGTCTCGACTTAAAACGGTAAAAGAAAAACTACTGTATAAATTATGAACTACAGTGTATGTGAAAAAAATTATTTTTGTTGAAATAAAAAACACTTTTAAAATAAAATTGTGTTTAATAAAAAATAACTGTTTTTAAAGTGAAATAGGAATAAATTGAAAAAAAATCGTATTAAATAATAAATATAGAAAATTGATCAACAATCAACATTTTTCTACAATCAAGTTTAATAATATAAGGTAAGAGTTTATGTTTAATTATAATAACAACTTTAATCAAGATTTCCTATCCAGTTTAATTATTTTCATTAATATTTTGAAAACCTATTCTGAGTAAGAATATAGGTATGTAAACAAATTTTCTGCTGCCTTTTAGTTTGGTTCTCCAAAATTCGATTTTTTACATATAAATCGATAACCTTAAAAATTCTGATAAGACATATGAGAAAGTCTGCCGGCTACCAAAAAAATGGAAGCTAGTGTTGTGATTATATAGTGTAGTTGTATTTCTGCTTCTAGCTTTTAGAGCTATTCATTCTCTACGGTGATCAGCGTTTCTAAGTTCCTTACATATTCTGGGTCTAGTATGTGATCGGACTCGATCGACGTTTGTACGTAGCCTTCCATTATATCCAGTATACATTGATGACGTGTTCCTTAACTGATTTTGGTCATTTCGCTTAAAGCTTAGAAACGTACGGCTGCCAATGCCGCTTCACATCTGTATATATTTCAAAAGGAGAAATGTCTAATAACGTCTCCAAAGCCTTAGTTAACCTAGTGCTCATGGCCCCACATATACTCAAGCAGCGGGTACGCTGAACTCCTTGTAGTTTTTTTATATTACACTTGTTGTCCAAAGAAGTCCAGCAGATTGTTGGCTCCATTTCGTGCCATTGGTTCACTTACACAGCGCGCAGTACCGAAGTGCCTTTTTAATACTACCCTCTGTGTCTCCATTTTAATTTAGGTGAAGGACTACTCCTAAGCATTCAAGCCTTTCAGCCACCGTTATCTTCCTGCCCAGGATACAGGCTTCTTTTAGTCTTAGATAGTTTAGAACATACAGATTTTAGTCTTTGCTGGGCATTCAGCATTCAGACCTCCCGGTTGAGCCGTGTTAAGTCCTTCTACGCAAGTAGTTTGAATCATCTCCCTTAAAAGGATTGCGATATCGTCTGTATTGCAGACAGGTCTAAGTGCGTTCTCGATTAGGATCCTTATCAATCGTGGTAATTCATAGTAATGCTCGCAGCATTTCTATCGGTTCCTTAGTTTTCGTGAAACTGATCTAAGGATTGGATAAGAGTATTAGAGTGAGTGGTGACTACGGTGTCAATGCATACCACCAGTGTAAACAGTTTGCTATCAAATTCAAAAAAAAAAAAAAAACAAAATTTTCTATGATATATCAATAAAGTATATCAATCGATAAGGCATCCCATTTGCCACAACTTAAGAAATATGTACTTTCTTTTGCATTGCATTACTTGAAACTTTTCTTCATATTTTTTTAAATTTTCAAGGTAAATATTGAAAAGTATTATAATTTGAGCCGCAAATCAAAACCATATTCTGTAAAAGCTTTACATGCAACGTAATTGAATTTCAAACTTTTTTCCAAAAGTCTGTTATGCACAATCAAACTTATCAGTTTTACAACTTATTAACTTCCTTTATAAAATGTTCAACAAAAGATAGCTGAAATAACATGTAATAAATTTTAATATGCTGCTTCCTATCTTTTATATATATTTTTTTGTCATTATTTAAGGAAGTTTTCATTTCGCGTAAAAAGTAACATTATTAACATAATTTTCAATTTAAAGTGTAACATACAAGAAGTGGTATGCAAATTACGAATTACAAGCCCATAATAAACCCTTTATTCATATTGACACCCTTTACTCAGTTTCCTTTTTTTGGGAGTTTGTTGGCAAAAATAAAAAACTTAAGCAAATATAACCCAATTTAAACTGCTGTTGAATTAAAGGAATAAAAACGTAGAAATTGTTATCAATAAGGCTGTGATGATGTTTCATTATCATGTAAATCCCGCGAGAGTTTTTTTTTTCAATTTTGCAACAATGTAATTTGTTTGCAAACAAAATTTATTTCACATTTTTGTCGCTGCTGATAAACACTGACACGGTTTATTATATTAAACAACACATGAACGTACGTATTTTTAAGAAAATAAAATTTGTTTTCTATTTCTAAAAAAAAAAAACATAAACAGTGTAAAGGAACTAAATAAAGTTTTATGCATACGATTATGAAGCGTTAAGCAAAGAAACATGGAAAAAAGAACTAAAATTTTACTTTTGCTTATATCCGTTTCCGCATTTTGTATAGAGGAAATGTTTATTCATGTGTCAGTAGGAGGTACAAAACCCTTTTATTTCAGTTTTCCAAAATATTTTCTATTGTTGAACAAAAAATTTTTTGTTCAATGTTTATTGGGAAAAAAGAGACACATTTATTCAAGTGTGTATGTTTCTCAATATATTTTAGCGTTTGTTGTGGGTTTATGGTTTGAAATGGGTTAAATGAGTGTCTACTCGGTTGTATTGTTGTTGGCAATGCATTGTAAACTGACTGGGTAATAAATCTTTCAAAGTCTATTGTTGCACTGTTGAACAATTGACATTCGATTGCCTCTGATGACATTCATTGTAAAGTCAAATATTCTATTTAATTTAGAGGATAAGGGAATGGGTTGTATAGGTCTTTTCTTTTCTGAGAATAAGGGTTTAAATTTCTACTAAAGGTAATTCGAAATTAGGGTAGAGTACTTGGTAATTAAAATAGTTAATTAGAAGATTTTACATTGTTTGCTGTCTTCATCATCAGCTCTTTGCGAAATATCGTTATAGGCCAGCAAAACAGTTATAAATTCCAAACACTTCATCAAATGAACATATTTTGTCTAAATCGGTACATATAGAGACATTTTTGGTTGGCTAAAGTCTAGTATATATTCTAGACTATAGTCTAGTTCGTAGTCTAGTCTATAGTCTAGTTCGTAGTCTATAGTCTAGTCTATAGTCTAGTCTATTGTCTAGTCTATAGTCTAGTCTATTGTCTAGTCTATAGTCTAGTCTATAGTCTAGTCTATAGTCTAGTCTATAGTCTAGTCTATAGTCTAGTCTATAGTCTAGTCTATAGTCTAGTCTATAGTCTAGTCTATAGTCTAGTCTATAGTCTAGTCTATAGTCTAGTCTATAGTCTAGTCTATAGTCTAGTCTATAGTCTAGTCTATAGTCTAGTCTATAGTCTAGTCTATAGTCTAGTCTATAGTCTAGTCTATAGTCTAGTCTATAGTCTAGTCTATAGTCTAGTCTATAGTCTAGTCTATAGTCTAGTCTATAGTCTAGTCTATAGTCTAGTCTATAGTCTAGTCTATAGTCTAGTCTATAGTCTAGTCTATAGTCTAGTCTATAGTCTAGTCTATAGTCTAGTCTATAGTCTAGTCTATAGTCTAGTCTATAGTCTAGTCTATAGTCTAGTCTATAGTCTAGTCTATAGTCTAGTCTATAGTCTAGTCTATAGTCTAGTCTATAGTCTAGTCTATAGTCTAGTCTATAGTCTAGTCTATAGTCTAGTCTATAGTCTAGTCTATAGTCTAGTCTATAGTCTAGTCTATAGTCTAGTCTATAGTCTAGTCTATAGTCTAGTCTATAGTCTAGTCCAGTGATGCCAGGAGATTTTTTTCAGAAATCCCTACGCTTATGAGAAAAAATACCTTTTTTCCCTACACCCACTTTTTATTTTCCCTACATTTTTCCCTACACTACTTTTTTCCAAGTTTATCTTAAAAAAATACAAAAATAACATAAAAAACTAAAATATTAGCTCCGTTTTATAATATACATATATACATATATATGTATTTTTTTTAATTTTTAGGAATGAAATTTCTAGAATTTAAATTTTTTTTCTTTTAATTTTACATAATACAAATCTTCCAAGCCTGACTTCAGTTCAGTTAAGATTAAAAAAACAAGACAATTGATAGATTTATGGCAGTATCACGATTCGATGTTAAAAATTTATTTTATGTTTTTTAAGGTTTACTTTCGCGTTTACTTTTGCGTTTTCTTTTTGTGGTTTACTTTTATAAATTTTCAGAACATTAAATCTATATGAAAGATTTTAGTATGTCGCATGTTTTGTAGACCTCAGTTCAAGAAACCCGAATTTTGGATTATGCCAGTCTTGTAGCGATATGTAGGTACATATATTGTAGAAATTACAAGCGGAATTTTTACTAACGATACACTTAAAACTGATTTCATTTT